CGATGTTAGCTGGCAGCAGTCGGCAGCAAAAAGGAGCATTTCTCCTTGTTGTCGATTTCTGGCATCTGAAGTCAGAATATTGGCCAGGAACAACGAAAGGTGAGTTCAATCTGGCCAGAAGAAAGAAGAGAATTTGTGTACGAGGTAGGTTGGTGTGTAACACCAATCTAAGTTTTTAAAAGGTAAATTGAATATTCGGGAGGGTAAACTTGCTCGCAAATTGTGAGTTCTTATATTTTTTGAATTATTTAAAATATAAAAACTAACAAACAATGGAGCTAATAAGAGTCAGCGCGGATGATCAAGCGCAAGTTTGGTAGATTAAAAAATCTACAAAATTTGCGCTTGATTATCTGCGCTGACTCTTATTAACCCTGTTATTAAATTTTTGTATTTTAAAGATTGAAAGCCTGCTTTAATTATTATAGGCTGCATTCAGCAAAAAAAGCAGCTTTTGCAATTGTTGAAAAATTCTTCAATATGATTAGTTTAAATATTTAGATCCATAAGGAATCAAAGCAAGAACCAATCGTATTAAAGAATTTTACAACAACTGAAAAGCTACTTTCTCTGATGAATGCAGCCATTAATGTATTATATTCGCGGTTGTTGCATATTTTTGAAATAGGTAGAAATACACGAGTGGAGATAGGTATACCCGAATAGGTACAAATAAATAAAAATACGGGTAGGTAGGAGTATAAAATATGGAGGATAATAGGTAGAGACTGTATAGGTAGGACGATAAGTATGGATAAGTAGGAATAACATTATATGTACATATTTGATAATTGAAAAGGAGAGATTAAAAATTGAATAAAATTTTTAATTCATTCTAAGTTTTATTTAATTAGGGAATATCATCAAAAGTAACAGGAGTAAGTGTAACACTTATGTAAAAAAAAATAAAATATGCAAGTGTAACGAAGAGAAGTTTTTAATAAATATATTATAAACTTCTATTTCTTCCTTACGCTTTTTGTTTATATTTTGTTTATAATGTTTTTCATGTAAATACAACTTATCCGTGTTTCTTTTGATCCCAGTAGTCTCTCCTATTAGCATCCCGTTCCAATTATCAAATATGAAAATAAAACAAATAAATTTCAAACTTTATTGAATTTTCAGCTATCCTGAAATTAAACTTTTTTTATAAAATGCTACAAACACGTACAAATTATGTAACACGTTAATATTGTAATTAATTATATTATAAATAAATGTACTTATAATAGTATTCAGATATGTAATATAAAATTTATGTAAACTATGTCCAGATAAATGCCATCATATATTATTATATATTTACTTTTGTAATTTACACAACGATTACTAAGTTATA